TACCTTGTAATATACAATATCAAATAAAGAAATGATGTTTACCTACTGGGATAACCCCCCAAAAAAAAAAAAAAAAAAGAAAAATATCTAAATTAAATACGAACACATATATAATAGATAATAGTATTATATTATATCTAGTTAATTTTAATAAATTATCTTTTTTTTTTTTAGGCATTTATTAAACTGCGATTATTTATTAATTATTAATTCAATTTTTACAAAGATATCTAAATATAAAATTTATAACAATAGAAATACATTAAGATATATTGCTATAAACACTAACCTAAACTAAAATAAATATATTTTACAAAACCTATAGAAAAAAATAAAAGAAACTATTTATTAATAAATAAAAGGATCAATCTTTTTATAATAAAGAATATAAAAAAATATGTTTGTTAAAAAAAAGTAATATTATAATAATCCTTCCTTACTAGGCATAACTGTTGAAAGAATTTATGTGAGTATTGGCATTGGCTACTACAGTAACTTACCAATGAATTGTAAACACTTTTGAATCTTTAATTGTACAATATTGAATAAATAAACTTGATACAATTTTTTTATCATGTGTTTAGCATATCTCAAGACATATCATATTAAAATTTTATATGATTTGGTTTATTATTGCAAAAGTTATACAAAAAACTTTACTAAATTTATTTTCAATATAGAAGCAAAATTAATTTTTAAAATTTTTTTTTAATTTTAAAAAATTTTTTATTTACATTTTCAATTCTAATATTTTGTAAGTTTCTTTCTGACTTCGATATATATATTAACTCAATTGGGCATGCTAATAAGTAATCAGCAACAATATTCAAAAGGTATTTTATTCCATATCTCCTTGACAAGAGTGTTTAGATCTTTGAGATTGTTTAGTTTTTTTCTCTTGCAATAAATTGACTTTTTCACTTCAGCTCACAAGTTTTTTATCAAATTGAGATTGGGACTTCGTGGAACTAATTCATTAAATGAATCCAATATTGAATAATAAATTCTTTTACTATTTTAGTGATGTGAACTTAACATTGTCTTGCTATTGGATTGAACAATTATAACATTTTCTTTTCAAAAAGTTTTTCTATATAGAGAGAAAGTACTTTTGAAGAATTTTAATATATATTGCACCAGTTGTGTTAAATTTCAGAGAAATAAGAGGTCTGACACTGAACCAAAAAAAACAATTCAATATATATGACCCTAATTATGTTTTATAATGAAACCTATACAATTGGTTTTTTATTTTTTACTTGGTTCATGTCAGATATGACCAGAGAAATCTTGAAAAAGATAGATTGTAGTTTTATCTAATTACAAGATATATTTGAATTTCTGGAAAGACCAGTTTTTATATTCAAGGAACCAGTTTAGTCTTTTTTGATATTCTTTGGAGAAATTAATGGCTTTGAAGTGGTAATATACAAATGTATAATGAATAGTGCTATTAGAAAATTTTTTTATTTTGATTGTTAAAAAAATTAATAATTTGTATAAAATTTAAATGATGATTATTATTATTGAAAACTAGATGAGAGAAGAAAAATATTTTGAACATGTGATTTTTTTTTGTGCCTTAGAAGCACTCAATTTATTAAACTTCTTTATAACATTTTATATGGCTGATTTACTGCAATATTGATATTTGAGAAGAAAGAATGTTAATATAATATTTGAAGTGTTTTATATAAAAGTAAGTAAAAAGATTTTTTCTTAATTTGAAGATTGCTTATATAAGTTTCACTTGGTAAAATAAAGAGTTTGTTTAAAGAAATTTTTATATTGCTCAAAGTATCCACTTCTCTATAAAGAATTAATTAACTTTCTATATCTTGCAATAAATAAAAATAAACTTCTTTTCTAATAAAAGATTCTTGTTAACTGTTTAACATTTACTATTCATGTTATTACCTAAAAAAAATTTTTTTTACAAATTGAATGTTGTAAGAAAGAGTTTTTTTTATCTTAGTAAGTTATCTTATCATATAGCTTAGGTTAATATTCATATAGATTATATATCTCTTTTAAGTATATATAGTATGTTAAACAATATTTTTTATAAGATAATAAAGATCTATGTTAGTTTACTAAAAAAAAAATTATTGATCAACTTGGAATTATAAAAAAATATATATTTAGAAAAAATGTATTAGAGGTGATTTTTTTTTTTTTTTTCATAAAAGGGCATTAGATGCAAGTCTTTATTAAATTGTATATATATGATACATGAGTTACATCAAACATCTTTACAGAAAATTACTCTAAATTAATGTTAACCTATCTACGATGCTAACTAAAGCGATCCTCCTTACACTTAATGTAGATTGGATTAGCGTTAGTGCTGGATGGTTAATGCCCTTCCAGAATTGAGATAAGATCTTGGGACTTTAGTACATTCATTTGATCTACTTGTTGTGCATTGGAATGTGTGATAATCTTGTCAAATAAGTCTGGTTGTGCAATGGGTGATTCCTTTGGTTTAGTAGTTGTGGGTTTCGGGGTAGATTTTTTCCATCTGATACCGGATGCTATTGAGGTATTTGCTGTTGCGGATCTAGGTAGCCATACTGTCGTGTACAGGAGTTTGAGAGTAGAGTTTGATAACTTGGCCTGTGCCTTTTTTGAGAGCTGGACTCCGAGGGTTGACATTCCACATGCTAGACCCTCGAGGTTTGATTTACTATTGATAGTTAGAATTTGTAATTGACAGGTAGATTCTGCAGCTATCGTTTTGGACTTGCTTTTAGGCAGAAGTTTTTTAATTTTGTTTATAATTTTGTTTTCAATTTCATCAAATGCCGATGTGTTCTTGTAATACTCGAATACATGTCTTTGTGTCTCAGGTGTGACTAGGCATCTGGGACAGAGGTTGTCTTTGTATAAATCTGGATACCTCTTGTGTAGAATTTGTCTTGTGGGAAGAGTGCCGTTGAGTATTTTGCATCTAAATGCTAGCAGGGATGAACAGCTGAGCTTGTCCTTTTTGATGAGAGACTTGTTAGCTAAATAGAGTATTTGGAGAGATTCCAAATCAGGTGCTTGGTTCCATCTTTCTTTAAGAGTTGAGCTATTGATGAGATCTGCCATTCTGTATGTTTGTTGGACTCTTTTGATCCAGTGTGTTGGACCCATGCTCCAAGTGTTTTTAATTCTTGGGCTGGTTATGTAGTTATCAACTACTAGGATATTGTCAATTGAGATGATATTATCACTTTCCTGAGATACCAGGGTGCTGGTCTGCTTACGTAGGGTTAGTCTGATCTCTTTCGTAGTGCAGAGCTCGTTGATACAGTTAGTTAGGTGACTGTATGAGACTTTGATTCTTTGGTTAAGATAGCTTGGGATATCTAGTCATAGTACGAATGGAATATTGATGGTTATATAAGTCTGTTCTTTAATAGTTGCTAGAAGTCCTATAATCGTTAGCAGTATGTTGATAGGTCGGTTATGGACCAAGTGCAGTGCTAAGTTAATTTCTTTGTTTTCTATGAGGACTAAATCATCTTTTGTTGTTAGGTCTATTATTGGGAAAGGACGGATGTTCGATATCAACTGCTTAATATCTTTTACCATATTTACATTTAACTGGATAGTATCTTTGCCAGATAGATTATTGTTGATCATGACAGTAGGGGTGGTGTTAGCTTCAAAGCATGCTTGCAGCTGTTCTATTATTTCTTCAGAGGCATTGGCTAGATAGTATTGATTGTTTTTTGAGTAGGTCCAAAGAGACATAGCTTCACCGGTAGGTATGGTAATATATGTTCCTATATTATGGCATTAATATTTTGTAAGTATTTTGCTTGGATCAATCATATAGTGTGGCCCCTTGAGTGGTCGTCTTGGATCTCTATTGATTCTTGACTTAATATATGATACTTGGTTGTTTTCTCTAAGGCCCAAAATTTAGCTTTGAGGTTGGAGATACTAGTGGAAGTTCCTTGAATATCAGATGGGGTTTTGATTTGTAGGAACCATGTTGGCACAGGACCTGGCGGAGTGGGACCTATATGTGCATTGAATTCATGCCAGGTAAGTCTCCGGTTGCTCTTATAGATGTACAGGTCTTTGAGGGTTTTAATTCTTTTATGGAATAGACTTAAGGCTTGTCGCTTGTATACTTTGTCTTTAAATGGGAAGATGAGACCTAGGGATAAGTTATCGTCAGGGTTATTGAATTTGCAGTTTGGGGGGCATATATTAATTTGGTATTTTTTGCATGCCATGGCAGCTTGAGTTATCCAGCTGCTAGGAAATTTTTCCGGATGGCATATTGGGCATAGCCAAATTACGCTGCTAGCCTGTATTGATTTGATTTCTATGTTGAGGGCATCTGTCGTTTTTGGATTACATGCTTTCATGACGAGGAGTTTGGTCAGGGTGAGGTCTTGTTTGTCCATGAGATTAATACATTTGAGGCCGGCTTGCGAATATACAATTCTGTCAAAGATGGTTCTTCCTATGTTGAATTTTCGCTTGATTAAACAATTAATTCTTGTTTGGATTACGTGTAGTTGAATCTTTGTCAATGTTGTCGAGTGCAATGCGTAATCGATTTTGCTTAGAACCATCCAATCAGTTACTTGCTTTGTTATTGGTCCATTCCAGGATTGTTTACTGAGTACTGAAATTGTTTGGTTCAGGTTCTTAATAAAAGGTTGCTTGTGTGTGTTGCCAGAGCTGTTACCTGAGAAGTAGTTGCCTAGGTAACGAAGTGGTACTTTGTGTGGCAATGGTTGAACCGAGGTATTGAGAACCTTTAGGCTTGAATTTCTGTTGCTATTGTTGTTGCCCAGTGTTGTAATTAACATTGTTTTTTCCGTGTTGCATTTGATACTGTTGAGAGTGAGAAAGGAGCAGAAGATATCTGTGATTTTTTGTAGTTCTTTTATTGACTGAGCAATTAGAAGTACATCGTCTATATATGTGAGGATATTGTGAGAAATTAGTGCTTGGTTCTGGTGGCTGAAGGCTGCTGCCACCATTGGATCATAAAA